GGCTATTTTTTGGTTTCAGCCATCATTGTTGTTTGGCGGGCCCGGGCTGGATTTGAACCCACCACCTTAGGTGTATGTGGCTGGTACCTTAGCCACTCGAGCCACAGGCGCCGAGCCTTTTTTCTCTTTTTAGAGACAGACTCTCACTCCATTACCCCAGGCTAGAGTGCTGTGGGGTCAGCCTAGCTCATAGCAACCTCAAACTCTTGGGCTTAAGTTATTCTCTTGCCTCAGCTTCCCAAGTAGCTGGGACCACTGGTGCCCAGCATAACACCTGGCTATTTGTGTTGTTGCAGTTGTCATTGTTGATTTTAGCTGACCCAGGCCGGGTTTGAACCCACCAGTCTAGGTGTATGTGGCCGGCGCCCTACTCACTGAGCTATGGGCACCACCCTTTTTTTTTTTTTTTTAATATGGAACACTTCACAGATTTATGTGGAATTTATGTGTCATCCTTGCGCAGGGGCCATAGCTAATCTTCTCTGTATCATTCCAATTTTAGTATATGTGCTACTGGAGCAAGCACTTTTTTTTTTTTTAAACAGAGTTTCACTTTGTTGCCCTCCATAGAGTGCTGTGGCATCATAGCTCACAGCAGCAACCTCTAACTCTTGGGCTCAACTGATCATCTTGCCTCAGGCTCCAAGTGGCTGGGACTATAGGCGCCAGCCAGAAGGCCCAGCTGTTTTTTAGAAACTCTAGCTCAGGTTGGTCTCGAACTCCTGAGCTTAGGCAATCCACCCATCTTGGCTTCCCAGAGTGCTGGGATTACAGGTGTGAGCCAAGGCACCTGGTCCCCAGAGCTTACTTTTAGAAAAACAGTCACCATTGGCTGCACATTTCAGTGACTCAGATCACAAAACTTGCTGTGTGACATATTCAACCTGCTCAACAAACTCAATCTGTCACTTCAGGAGAGAACAACAGTGTTCAAGCCGGCAGATAAAATGGCTACATTCAAAGTTAAACTAGAATTATGGGGAGACAATAAACACTGGAATTTTTGACATTTCAGCAGAGATTTTTTTTTTTTTTTGGAAACAGAGTCTCACTATATCGCCCTTGGTAGAGTGCTATGGTTTTATAGCTCACAGCAACCTCCAACTCTTGGGCTTAAGCGATTCTCTTGTCTCAGCCTCCCAAGTAGCTGGGACTACAGGCGCCCGCCACAATGACCAGCTGTTTTTTGTTACAGTTGTCATTGTTGTCTACCTGGCCCTGGCCGGGTTCAAACTCACCACCTTCAGTGTATGTGGCTGACGCCACAACCACTGTGCTACAGGCGCTGAGCCATTCAGCAGAGATTTTTTTTTTTTTAGAGACAGAGTCTCACTTTGTTGCCCTTGGTAGAGTGCTGTAGCATCACAGTTTACAGCAACCTCCCGCTCTTGGGCTTAGGCAATTCTCTTGCCTCAGCCTCCCAAGTAGCTGGGACTACAGGCGCCCACCACAACGCCTGGCCATTTTTTTGGTTGCAGCCATCATTGTTGTTTTGGCGGGCCCAGGCTGGATTCGAACCTGCCACCTTAGGTATATGTGGCTGGCACCTTAGCCACTTGAGGCACAGGTGCCGAGCCGAAAAATTGTCTTCCATGAAACTGGTCCCATGGTTCCAATCTTTTTGGGGACCTCTGCCATAGAGGATGACCAGAGGCTGGGTATGTGATGATCAATGGTGCTATGGTGTAGGAAGCCAGCAGAGGTGGCATTCTGGCCACAGGGACATCTCCTCTGTCTCACTCCCCCAGACACCAGGCGCCACTGGCCCAGGGGGAGAGGTCTCCATGAGAACCCAAAAGGTGTTGCTCTGGCCTGGGTAACCAGTGTGAAGGGCATAGCACAGGGTGAGAGGCACAGTCCCCCACACTCAGGCCTCTAGACTGAGGAGTGACCTAGGGCTGACTTTGAGCTGGGCCAGTCATGAGATTACAGCCCCAGCCGCAAGAGACAGGCAAATACTACCCCTATAGCTGGGGAGAAAGCTTGGCTGGGGCACAGCTTGACTATCAGATGGGTCTCTAGTTCCATCCTAAAGAAGCCCCACTGATAGGACCCTGCCACCTCACTGTCCTAGCACTGAAACCTACAATTATTATCTTTTTCCTTGGATTAGCATTACCTTCTTAGAGACACACCAGCCACCTAACTCAGGCCCCAATCCCAATTTGTCACTCTGGGCTGTGGAACCTCAAGCAGGCCTCTGAGCACCAGGGTCCTTGACTGTGGGATGGTGATTGTGCTCCCAGGTTTGCAGTGGGAGTTAAGTGCCCGTGTTCTTATGCACTTGGCCTGGCAGGCAGTGAGTGTCCAGAGGCCTGTGCTCTTCATCCGCAGGCCAACTCCTGGGAAGCAGCTGGAAAAGGTGCAAGCTGAAGTCTGCTCCCACTTCACTGGAAAGGAGCTCTGTGAGTCACCGTAGGAAGGCCAGGAAGCCCAAACCACCTCCCCAATCTGCCCTTCCTCTGCTGCAGTGTTTTCAACCTTTTTCAACTTGTGGGACACTTGAACTTATAGTTAAACTTCCACAGCACACTTAAATAAATGTTGATCAGAAAAAGAGTAAAAAAAGAAGAATATACTTATGGTGCTTTGAGCTTCTTTGGGAAATAATTTAATTAATGGTCTTTAAAAATGTTCACAGCACACTGGGTGAAAATCACTACTCAAAGGCTCAATGCTGGAGCAGAGAGCAAGTAGACAGCTCCTTCCAATAAAATCCTTCTGCTTTCAAGCCTTTTGCTCCCACCCCCAGCTGCGTCCAGCCCAGCCCACCTCCATCCCTATCCCAGCTCCCTGTCCCAGTTCCTATCTCAATCCTGAGGCAACAATCAGTAAACATACCAGGACAACCCTGGGGACAAAAGGCCGTAAGGTGGGCTTGTTCAATCAAGGGGAAGGGACTCAGAAATTCACAAGGCTCTTTATCTGTCTGCAACAGGCAATCCAGGGGTACTCAATGCCCCCTGCATTCTGGTCCTCCTTGCCCACCATGTATCTTCTGAGTGGAACTCTCCAGAAGTCCATAGGGCTTCCTGTGACCCACCCACAACACCCAGCATTGTGTGCTGAGATGCTAACTGCAGCCAGGTGGAAGGTAGGAGTGGTCAATCTGACCCCAGCTGTAACCCTGATGTCTGTTTGTTTCCAGAGTGCAGCATGCAGCCCTTGAAGACAAAAGGCCAGTAAAGGCACGTGGGGGCAACTGAGGACACTGTGCCCATTGCTCAGCTGGGCTGTGGGGCAGAGGGAGGTGGTAGGAAAGTGGGTCTGGGTTTGAACATGAAAGGCCTGCTCTACCCTGGGGCTCAGCCATCCGAGGCCTACATTTGCACTTTCTGAGAAGCCCTCTTTATTTCTCAGCCAGAGCCTGGCTACCTCTCATGTATTCCTGCAACCCTACTGGTCCCCAGAACCCTGATGGACTTTGAAGGGCTCCTTGAATGGCTAGCCCTATACTCAGGTTCAGTGGATCCACAGTGCCCACCAACCCCTCCAAGCTGTGGCTAGGACCCAGTTCCTAGGAGCAAGGACTGTCACTGTGGCCTAATCTGCTTCCACCAGGGGGCTGGGCTCCCCACCCGGGACAAGCCAAGACAAGCCTCACAGCGCAGAAGGCCCTCTCTAAACCTGAACCCAGCCCACGCTTGAGGCTGGGGTGGGGTGGGGCAGAGGGAAGGGGACCCACACTCTTTGCTGGAGGGGTGGAGGGGGCATGCTGAGACTGGTGTTCAGGCCTCCTGAATTCAAATCCTGTCTCTCCTACTTCTTAGCTGTGCTGCCTTAGGCAAGTAAGTCACTTCATCTGTTTGAAGCTCAGTTTACACAGATGTAAAACTCAGGATACCTATTACCCAGCTCATGGGATAATCAGGCAGATCGAGTAAAGCTGTAGACATGAAGAGACCAGCACAGGACCCAGGTGCAACAATGCCTGACACTTGCTGTGTGGTGCGGGGTGCATCTGCAAGTCTGGGGGACTGGGTGGTTTGGGACAACCAAGAAAGTGCCCCTCCCCCAGTATAGGGTTGTGGGGAGCATTTACTGCCCCTTCAGTCACCCCCGACCCTGAAGCCTGCACCTCCTGACCCTGCAATGCCCACGGACAATGCCTGGGGTTTCTGGTTCTTCTTATGATGAGGATAACATCAATCTGGAGTGTTAGGGTTTGTAATTACTTTAGTGGACAGCGATCAGGAGATCACCATAGGTTGTCCGGTGTGTTTTAGATACACCAAGGAGTATCTTGTTCAGGATGAGACTGTCAGGAAGCAGCAGTTCCCAGAGTCAAGCAAGGGGAGGCTTTTAACACCATGCCCTGACCTGGTGGGACTCATAGAAGCTTAGAGGACCAAGGAGAAAAAGACGTGCACAGTGTGAGTGTGTGGGCACAGACACGGACCCAGCCAGGCACACACATGCAGCATGGCTTTTCATTCATTCTTTCACCCTCCCCCTCTCTCCCTCTCTTCTTTCCTTTTTTCTTTCTCTCCCTTCCTTTCCCCTCCTTCCCCATCTTCTCTTCACTCCCTCCCCCTCCTTTCCCTCAGAGCACTCTGCCAGGCCTACTATACCCAGGTGTGTAACCTCTGTGGGTGTTCACAGAACTGGTTAGTTGCCCAAGGAAAGAGGGCCATAGCCAAGCCCCCTAGCCTCTCTTTCTAGGTCCGGAATAAGCACGTGCTGGGGTGGGGTGTTCAATAACCCACTGTTCTGCCTCCCCTTCCGATTTTGCTCTCCCACCACTGAAGCCCCAGTCCCCATTGCTTTGGGGTCTCTGTTTATACCCAGACTAGCAAAGGCAAGTTTGCATCCTAGTTGTACCCCAATCCTAACTTTGTGACTGCAGGCAGGTCACTGGAAATGGTTGGCCCCGGTGTTTGCACCTCTAAAATGGTTAGCTGGGTGTGGTGGTGGGCGCCCGTAGTCCCAGCTACTCAGGAGGCTGAGACAGGAGGATCACTTGAGCACAAGAGTTTGAGGTTGTTGAGAGCTTTGATGAGGTTTACTGTACTCTAGCCTGGGCAACAGAGGGAGACCTTGTCTGAATAAAAGAAAGAGGGCGGTGCCTGTGGCTCAAAGGAGTAGGGCACCGGCTCCATATGCTGGAGGTGGCAGGTTCAAACCCAGCCCTGGCCAAAAAAAAAGAATAAAATGGGGCTATCATGCCTTTCTCACTGGGTGTAGCCCTGAATGAAAAGCAACCAGCTGGGCGCTGCCTGTGGCTCAGTGAGTACGGCGCTGGCCCCATGTACCGAGGGTGGCGGGTTCAAACCGGCCCCAGCCAAACTCCAACAAGAAAACAGCTGGGCGTTGCAGTGGGCACCTGTAGTCCCAGCTACTCAGGAGGCTGAGGCAAGAGAATCACCTAAGCCCAAGAGCCAGAGGTTGCTGTGAGCTGTGACACCACCACACTCTACCAAGAGCAACAAAGTGTGACTCTGTCTCTAAAAAGAAAAAAGAAAGAAATGCAACTAGCACAGTGCTCACCTGCTCACCCTCTCCCACCTTCCAGGGACAGGGCTGGCC